AGAGAGAGCATCTCATGCCAGCCACCTTCACTACTCACACTTCATGCTTCTTGTTGAATTGGAAGGCTTAGGTACTAATACATGCTAATTCAGCCAGTGACCTAAGCATCCATCTTGCAAATAGATGAAATACTAAAAATCATAGGTACAAAACTATAGAAATAAAAAAACCTTCTATATTATGGAAATGGATCACGCATCTCTTGGGCATTTGTATGACCCTCTTCCATGGTTGAGGTTGGCAAGGCAACAGAAGAATCATCACCGGAGTCTGAGGTGCTACAACACCTGATGCTGTCATCAGTAAAGCGCACCTCTCCATCCATATAAAAGCTCGAAGCACTCTGTAGCTATCGTTCCACCATCTCTATCGAGCTCCATTTCTCGGTCTCTACTCTCACTTCTCTGAAACACATGCCACAAGAATTTTTTCTCATTGAAGCGTCGAGCCATGGCCTTGATTCTCTGCCATTGTAGTTTCACTTAGTTGCTCTTTTATGACCGTCTATCCAAAAGGAAATGGAAAAGATTATTAGTGCTCCAATGGAAGTGGTCCAAACTATGACAAAAAGGCCCCAAAAGCAATCAAGACTCAGAGCAGTTGAGGTATTGTCGTGCGATACGCTTGTTTTCACAAATGATGCCCGCTCTATGGCGTCCATCTTGTCTCCCTCTGATATGCTTAGGACCGCGCTGGAAATGTCTGAAAGTAATGGGGAGTTTTTCGGAAACACCTGTGTTGTGACAGGAAGATGTGTTAAAAAGGTATAAATCAAGAGGATCCTTTAACCTAGCAAGAGCACGAAAAATTGAGCGTTTCTTTGGATAACCCTTTGACATATGTAATTGGTGTTTAGAAGAGAAAATTTCGTGTTAAAGCTTGAAATACTCGTATTTATTGTATGAGTTCAAATGTAAACGTTCAGAGTAATGATCAATTTGCTAGGGCTTTTCAGCATTAACTTGATGGCTTCGAACAATTGACCTCCCTCATCCAAACCGACATGTCTGCTAATAAGCCAAATATTAGCAGGAGTCTGAGTGACTTCAGAGAAAGCGTTACCAAAATCCTAGATAGCGGAACTTAAAATGGGAAAAAGTAAAGGGTGTGGTTTGCATAAGGTTGTAACCTTAAACAATCAAAGTAAGTTGTGCCTTTAAACTTTGTTATGAGATGCAATTTTAGTTGAAAAAATTCATAGGATAGTGCAAGAGAATATTTTTATCTCCAATTATAACATTTAAACTGTAAAAGTTTTTCAAATCAAGTATATCTATAAACGCATGAAAACCTTGAGAATAGACGGTCCAAATAATGTATTGTAAAATGTAGTATTTTAAGGATTTGAAATCTCTTTTTGTCTCCATATCAATACATCTCGAGTTGAGATGATCAATTAGATGTTTTTTCAAGGTCAAAACAACCCTTTTAGAAGGATTTTAAATGTGCACCTTAATTCTACATTTTAAATGAACTTTTTCCGAAGTGAAAAATGAAGCATTTATGATTCATCACCAATTTGGGCTATAATATTGATATTTCAAAGGAAACACTTGCATTAAAAAACTCACTAATCTTGTGTAGTCAAACAAGAATGCTTAAGAACCATTTCTTGCTTTAAAACCTCATAGGTTTCAAGGAAAAGAATAACATGACAAGCTCATTAAAGAAGTTCATGGGAAGTATATTAAAGATTTAAAATCATCCAAGACTCACCCTGCGAGAGATTTTAAATGAATAAAAAATATTTTGGACTCCAAAAACAAGACTCACCCTGTGAGAAATTTTAAATGAATAAAACAATATTTCGGACTCTTAAAGCAGCTGATATGATTACTTTTCGAATGGATAGCACAAAATCATTGTTGTACAAGAAAGTGATTAGAAGTATTTTCTTGAACTCCAAAATGACTTCCTTTTCGAATTGATCCTAGAGAAGAGGCAAGATGATTTGAGGTGAAGCTATATTCCTACATGTTTTTGGCTGGAAAACAAAGTAGTTTCATGGTCACATGGGACCACCAAATCCTGTGTGTGCTCAATAGGATACTAAAAGATAAAAGGTACTCCCAGCCATCAAATGTGGGGAGTCTATTATTGTAATAGAGTCACACACACACACAGACACATAGAGATATCAAGAGAAAGATTTGATTCAAACAAAGATAAGAGATAAACAGATCTTACGAAACCGAAGCCCCCTGTTCTAAAAATTGGTCCCACCATGGTATACTCAAGAGGATGAGAAGACACAAATAGTTGTATGTAGGGACCTCATCAAAGATTGCAGCAACCCCTCCATTGCTGCTACCCCTTGACAAGGCTTCAGCATATTCATTGGGAGTGTCATAAGGCATGAGTTTCGACTTCAAGAAGCCTGACCTTACCAGAAGGCCTTCGACACAAGAGTTATTTTGGTATCCAATAAAGTCACCATTATTTATCAGAGTTTCAATATCTACAACAGTAGGTTGCAGCTGCTCTACTGTTAGAATGGAGGCCACGTTTGCAGTGTAACTGCTTGTTAATATAAGTACCACAAACAACCACATGATGAGCACAAAGCGCCCCATATTTCCATTTGTTGTGTCACCTAAAAGATATGCAACTCAAGTTAGAGAAATGAGTGTAACATTTGTTGGAAGGGTAAACTTCAAAAATTTACCGAAAGTAAAATAATAAAAGTGCAGTGTGTTCTAGAAGGATTTTTTGGGACATATAAATTACTCTAGAGATGTCTACATTGGTTGCTTTGAGACCTATCTATATAGTACATCATGCAATTTGGACCCCCTTCATTTTTAAGATTTTTCAAGTGTTTATAATGTGTGGGACCTTGTCCTACATGAATCATAACAGTTGTTGAGATATTCACTGTCAAATCTTTGTTACACAATGCATGGCTTAGATAATCCCTACCTCCACCTTGAAGAAAAATTCGTGACTCGATACATATCTATAGATCAGTTCTACCACATATGACACAAATGGGGAAGTGGAGAATGGAATCCTAGTAGATAATCGGCCTATGGTTAAGTATAAAATTTTTAAGCATTTGAGAGAAACTTTCACAATTTTCAAAATAAATATAGCACATGAAAACATGAACTGTTTGAGAGAAACTTTTACAATTTTCAAAATAAATATAGGACATTAAAACATGAAGAGATTTATAGGAACAGTCCACTTTAATTTTATGATGGCTTATACTGTAATGGGAAGAAAATAAATCAGAGTTTCAATTGCAAAATATTTCAATGCGACAATAATATATTATCCAAAAAGAGTACTTACGATGCGCGAAGACTGGACTTGAGAAGGAGAAATAAAGAGCATTTCCCAGTTGCTCTATCGGTGGCCCTCGAAAATTCTCATTAATCCGATGCTCCAAAACCCAAAACACAAATGCCATGAAGAAGAAGAGACATGTAGTGATCACCCAGAGCTCCCATGTTAATGGCTCCAAGAAAGCCCAAGATTTGCTTCTCTTCTCCTTCTGCAGAGGTACTATCATTGATACCCCTGCACTGGTGTATGGCGGCGTAAAGTCGACCTGATTCGAACGGCTCGCAAAAATAGTGATATCACCTACTACTGCATCATATTTCTGTTGCCAATCCACAATGCACATACATGTGCAAGAAACAAATTATGTCAATAGAAGGGAGCCACTTGAAAATCAGATCTTATGTGAAATCTGGACTTACCCCTTGAACAACCTGGTTAATCATGTCATTGTAGCTCCCTGCGCTTTTTCCTTCGCTATCTGCAAATGGAAGAAACTCATATGGCAAAGAGTAGGGCAAAACCTCCATGACTGCAACAAAAACATCGATGGAGAAACCGGTCACTTGCAGTCGGCCTGTAGCTGGGTCTCTTTCTACCTTCACGAATTCCTGATACCTTCTCTTAATGGGAACCCCAATCCTTAACTTTTTACTGTTTGTGGGGATCACCCAACCCTTAGGGACCACTGCTGTTTCCCCAGGCCACGTTACTGGCCTGAGATCGGCCATGTTAGCTGTGTAGTCCTTCTTCTTATTCTCTTGTGTTCGTTCAGCGACCGGAGATAGGCCAGATACAGGTGACCAGAAACCGATCACTCTTATACCTTCTTTAACTATGTTAATTACTTGAAATGTGGAAGCTTTGAGCTCTCCATTAATGAAACGGATATCCCAGGCTAAGCCCTTGAATGTGGTGCCTAAGATGGCTCTGAGGATACTTGGGCCTGAAGGTGAAATTCCTAAATTTGAGAGATCTGTAAAATTCCCAATCTCTTCTTCGGTGCTTTGTTTCTGAAAAGGGAGGGCTGCGGTACCAGATTTCTGCACCGCAAGCGCGAGAACCCAGGTCATGTCATAAGCTCTTAGTCCGAAAACATTTAAATCTGGAACCTTGAACTCTGTAGTATTTTCTGCACTGTAAAAATGCTTCCACCTAGTTATGAAATTGGCCAAACGTTGGGACTTGGGAATGTATGTCTTCACTGCCAAGACCCCTTGCATTGAGGCTATGGCTGAAGGATCCATGGAGCTTAATAAACTCGCGAGCTCATCGGAAATGATCCAGGCATAGTCCTTACTCATCATCCCGATTTCTTGAGCCTGTTGGAATAATTGAGAGGCAAGCGGAGATGACATGTGAACGATGAAAACCCTGGTTTGCATTGTCATAAGCTTGTACAGCTCTTGACCGATCAATTCCTCTGATGCGAAGGTGGGAAGGATGGATTTGTACTGTAGGCGAGACCCGATTTCTTCGAGGGCATCTCTTAAATGTGGAAAGAAATCTGATTTGAATTTAGAGTCCTCGCATATGGCCACAGCTTGCTTCCATCCGTAGGCTTTGAGAAGAGCAGCAATGGGTTTGGCTTGAGCCGCGTCATTGACCGCGCCGCGAACAAAGTACGGGGCATAGGATGATAAGCAGAGAGACGGAGAAGTTGCAGAGAAGGAGAGCACAGGGACTTGAGATTTGTCTCCAAGGTTGGCCAAGAATTCAGCTTCACCTGATGTTTGAGGACCGATGATGGCCTGCACCTTCTCATGTTTCATGAGATCTACGCCTGTGGGACAACAAAAATTTAAAAATTTAAGTAAAACTAAATTAAAATTTTAATGATGGACCGTTTATTAAAGAATGATACATTTCCTCATTCTTATTTGTCTTGGGAAAATTGCATAAAACCTTCAAAAATTATTTTCTAAGCAATTTATGTCCGACCTAACTTTTTTCCCAAAATCATGTTTCTTAGTAAATACCCCAAATAAAAAAAAAAAAAAACTAAAATACGGTCCGGCACTACACCATGGTAGTCCAGCACTTCACCATGACGGTCCCGCGTTTGGAAGAGGCGGTCTGGCATTTGGAAGAGGTCGTTCTGGCGTTTTACAATTGTGGCCCGGCATTTATTTGTGTCTGAAATAAGCGGCCCCACAGTTTACAGTTTCATTTCGGCAGAATGGATGGGTACGACAATATACAACAGCGATCCGGTGTTTCCTTTTATTTGGATTTGAAAATGATTTGTTATGTACGGGAATGGTATTTTCGTAAAAAAAAAATTAAAGTTTTGTATTTGAGGGATATTTGCTATAAAATTTGATTTTTGAGAAAAATATGCTAAAAAAAATTAGGGTAGGTAAAGTGCCTAGAAAGTCTACTTTTAAGGGTTTTATGCAATTTTCTCATTTTTCTTTATATTTAAAAAGTACATCATAGTGAGATGTGTTCACACCCTAAATTTCACTATAAAATGATTTAGAAAATAAAAAATAAAATAAAATAGTCTGAGCTATCAAACGCTCATAAATTAACTTGTAATGTTGTTTCTAAAGTCATCCCAACCATCCATTCAATTTTAGAACCTGAGTCATGTATATTTTATACGTAGGTGACTTCACCATTTGTTTTCTAACTGGTCAGGAGCTAGGAGTATGATTGAGAGGACCCCATGGGGCATTCTGTGTTTGTTAAGAACCAGCAAAACGCACTTGCCTTTTTCAATATTTTATTCTTCCTTATGTACTTGCATAGCTGCGCTTAGGCTTCAAGTGCTAAACTTGTTAGGTACATGAAAAATGTTAAAGTAGAACAAAAAAAATGGAAATATATTCACTTTTCTTTTTTGTATGAAAAATTCACAGCCCCCGAGCCATTAGATGTCATTTTAGACGGCTTAAGGACGTCGTTCCTCCTCTCAAAGTACCCAGTATTTTCTCTCTCGTATTAAAATATATCACAGCTTTTAAAAAAAATTGTTTTTAATTTTATGCTCAATTAACGACATATCACTGCCCATCAGATTTCACATCCAATGGTTGACAATAATCACGACCTTCTTGTATAATATATATATATATATATATATGGGTTGAGGGGGATAGAGGGAGAGAAAGAGATTACTAGCTGAAGCAGCCTTGATAACATCTCCACCTGAATCCCTCCAAGAAATAGTGAGTCTAGTGTTGAAGTTGGGGTGCTCATTGTAAAAATCTTCAATGGCCATGGCTATGCAACTATTACTCACTCTTCCAACCACTGAATCCATAGCCAAAACCACCCCCACCCTAACATCTCTTGCCCCTTTTGTTTCATTAAACCCATCTTCATTCAATCCAAAAGACGAATGGAAAAGGCTTAGAAGTAAAGAACTCAAAAGAAAACCAGCCCTCATCTCTTTCAAAACACTTTGGAGAAAACCAGCTTTCATTTCTTTGAAGACTGGGAAAATGGTTTATCAATGAACCTTGGGTGACCTTTTAAAGCATAGTTTTGAAGCAAAGCATCAAATGGTATGAAATTACATATTGATTCATGAAATTAGAGGGGATATTTTCTCCTTTCTCCAGTGCACCTTCCCTTTTCTCGCATCTAGTTTGTCTCAATTGGAATTCTCTTAGTCTCGGTTCTTACTTTTAAAAGTGCCAAGAATTTTCCTATTGGTGAAAGTCTCCTGTCCACATTTTGTAGATGGGTGGAAGGTGCACAATGGTTGAGATTTCACAACGCCAAATCCAACGGCTAAAAATTAGTCTTGTAACTTTCTCTTTTTATTTAAATGAGTTATTTATCTGAATTTTGAGGCGTAGGTGTATTTTTATAAATAAACTAAATAAAAATAATTAAAATACCCTTAAATTTATTTTGATAGTTAACTAATTTCTTAGCATTTTTATTCAATTCTAATTTTGAAAATAAAGCTATAACCCAAACTTCATATCAATATCATTTTTAAATAAAAATTTAAATATAAGATTTGTTTTTTAATTTTGGCCCTTGAAGGGAGCCTGTTCAATCTAAACTATTTAAAATACTTGTGCGTTTCCATAGCATGCGGATGCAATACTAACCCTTTCCTCTTGGTATCTGAATCTTGACCACAAGGAAATGTACCCTGCTCCCTCCACCCCCATTCACTCCCTCTCTCTCTTTCTCTCACTTCATATATATATATAAAAGTAATAATTGTATGAGACCATCTCATACCATGTGTGAGTAATAATCTTATGAGACCATGTGTAAGATCTCATATATATATATATATATATATAAAAGCTGGGGTTAGCCCACTAGTTTATATGAACATATGAGCCTAACGG